TAAAATAAGCGATGAGTACTTGCATATGCCCTGCCCTAAATTCTTATTTTAACAGGAAATGTGTCAACGCTGGAAAAAAATTGCACTTTTAAACCATTTCATGGCATCTTTAAGGCCTAGTATGGCCACATTCTCACTATAGTCACTGCCTACGTAGAGAACAACTCAAATCTGTCACTTAGCCTCGGCAGATAGCTGCCTATTTAGACAGTATCAACGAGACAGCTCACTAGGGTTTGGAACAGATCGTTCAAATCATATAGCCAGCTATAGACGATATGAGGCTGAATTATGCCTGGTTCAAGCTCAGTTCAAATCTTGCAAAAGTTTGAAACTGAATACTCAAGAGACTGGCAAGAGGATCAAGCACGGCAACCATGGATATCTGTGATTGGCTGGCTGAACCGAATCAGGCTGCGAGCTGATTGGCACCACGGAGCGAGACCGTGTGAGTGGAACCAGCTCTGCCTAACAAAGCAGCCATCTCACAGAGATGCCAACTGCCACCGTACCCTCCCCTTTAGACATGTGCGGACACACCACGGGGAGGGAGCGACTTCTACAGATGCCACTGAGCAGCGTCCAAAAACAGACAACAAAACAGAAGGGATTAAAAAGAAGAATGACGCCACCGGCAGATGACAAACTAGAGAGGAGGGACCAGTGGTAGTGTGTGGAGGGGGATCTGAGGCAGGCTCAGAAAACCTGCGGCTGCTTTTGAGGAGCACATGAGAATTTGGAAGAATTTCAACTGAGAGGAAAGGAAACAGATGAAAAAGAGAGAGATTGTGACGTGGCGAAAAACAGATAGCTTGTAAAGAGAGACATTGAAGCACCTGGAAATGGGAGAGAGCATTTGGCAAGGGGTCGGGCAGTTACCAGCTATACAAATCGTTACTCTAATCCAAAATAATGTACAGAGAAAACACAGGGGTTATCCTGAAAGAAGGAAGGTAGGTAGGAAGGAAGGAAGGCGTAAACAAAAAAGGGTCTGAATAAAAACAGTATGGAGGGTCACTTTGGATCTGGAAGGACAGATACAAAATTAATCGCAAACAATAGAGAAATGAATAAATGATGGCTCATGAAAGAGGGTGGAATTGCACAGATGGGCAGAGGATATGGGTTTAGTGGGAGAAATTACTTCCTGTCCAACAGAAAAGTAGAGCGGAGGAGCGCTCAGAGTAAAGTGGCTCGTGCGAGTGTGTGTGAGAGAGAAAGAATAGAGAGTGTGCACGCGTGCATGTGCCGCATTTAGTCGGCGAGCGTGTTTCCCTTGGGGTAGAAGTGATCAGATTAAAGGATGGTTATTAATTTCTCAAATAGACTTAATTGGAACTTTTAGCAGGACAGCTGGTGGATATCTGCTGTTTTTCCTTAAGTGATAGTTGCGTGCGTGTGTGCGTGTTCGATATGCATGCATGAGGTCTTCTGTGCACAGGGATTAGTGTATGAATGCAGGACTGTATGTATGATGGCGCATGTCGGTGTTATCTGAAACAAGAACCAAATCTGGAAGGAGGTTCGGTTATAAGCCAGAGAAAGGAAGAGAGAAAACAAGTGAGAGAGAGAGAAAGAAAGAGAGAAGGAGGGATATAAACATCAAACATGAGCACTACACAAGGTGCTGGGTTAGGAGAGGGGGATGAGGAAAGGAAACGGAAGAGGAAGGGGAGGAGGAGGAGGAGGAGGGTGGGCGGGGCGAGCTGTGGTTTTAATGTTCATTGTGGTCTTTACCTTTTTGGTCCACTTCTATTCAAGCATCGGAAAAAAAGAGAGAGAAGACAGAGAGAGCAAAAGAAAGAGCGAAAGAGAGTGAAGATAATGAAAGAAAAAACAGGTGCAGGAAAAAAGAGAAAATTGAGATTAAATAAAAGGCTATCCTTTCTCAAATCACGTCATTCTGTCAGTGTCATGTAGGCTCTTTACAGAGAGGATGACTCGCGTGAGTAATGAGAGGGGAGAATGGCCTCAACTACTTTCACAAAGTTTCGCAAAACCCCTTCCATTCTTCCTGTCACATGACACACGTACACTTCCCTCAGTCACACACACTCCGCCCCCTCCACTTCACCCCCTCTCCCCTCCATCCGTCTGTCATTCCTCTTACCACGTTTCTGCATCTTTGGGCTGCTGTGAGAGAGAGAACATGATGCATGTTCGAAATGGCATAGCACGCATCTGGTTGCAATTCATAATGCAACGCAAGTTCTTAGCATTGCCGCAAGGTTGTATTATAGCGAACATTTTTTAGGCCCCAAAATGTACAATGAAGAGGAATGTGAAGGCAAATGCTTCTAATATGCACGTTCTATCTTATTTGTCATGCATTGCAAAATATGTCAGGCTGCAATTCATAATGAAACACAATGCAACTTTTTAGCATTGCTACAAGGCTGCTATAGTGAACATTTTCAGGCCCAACATGTGTCAAATGCTTAGGTATGTGGATGCAAATGCGTTTAGTATGCAAGTTCTATTTCATTTGTGATGCACTGGCCACAATTCGCAAACACACCGCAAGTTCTTAGCATTGCCACAAGGTTGTGTTATAGCAAACAATTTGAAGCATGTGAATGCAAATGTTTCAAGTATGCAAGTTCTATTTAAATTGCCGCACATTGCGAAATATGCCAGGTTGCAATTCATAATACAACGCAAGTTCTTAGAATTGCCACAAAGTTGCTATTGTGAACAACTTTAGGACCAAATTGTACATTGCATAAGTATGTGAATGCAAAAGTTTCAAGTATGCAAGTTCTATTTAAATTGTTGCAAATTGCGAAATGGGCCAGGTGGCAATTAATAATGCAATGCAAGTTCTTAATATCGACACAAGGTTAGCACATATTTTTTAGGCCTATTGTACAACGCACAAGTATGCGAATGTAAAATCTTTTACTACGCAAAATATATTTAATGTCTAATGCTTTGAGAAATGTGTCAGGCCACAGTTTTAGTGCAATGCAAGTTCTTAGCATTGCCACAAGGTTGTGTTATGGCCATTTCGTAGGCCCAAAATGTACAATGCACAAGTATGTGAATGTAAAACCTTTTAGTATGCAAATAACTAAATAAATAGGCCTATACAGTACATGCTTTGTAGTAAGATGTATGCTAGTATGCCATTTCGAATATAATTCCAAGTGTCTTCTGCAGCTGTGAGGAGGAAAAAAGGGTTAACAAAGAGACAGATTGATGCAGTGATGAAGAGGAGAGAGAGAGAGAGAGAGAGAGAGAGAGAGATAGAAGAGAGGTGATAGAAAGGCTGATTTCTCTCTGAACCTGAAGGGGCTGGTTCAGGCTCGGCTGGGATCGGGTGAGCGAGCTGTTCTTTTTCTCTTACAGAGCTTGACCACTTATCGCGTCTACTTACTGAATCCATCAAGATCCAGCTGCCAATCACTGATTGTGGTCTGTGGGACCATGTGGATTGGCTGAGGTACATTTTTGAGAGCCAGAAACAGGCTGAGAGGAGGAGAGAGGCCATCATAGTAAGGAAAAAGTTGGAGAGAAAAAAAAGTAGAGAGAGAGAGAGGTCGGCAGAACAGAGGAACATTTCGTTTCCACTGCCTGCTGGAAAAACCAAGTTTGAAGTACAAGTTTGAGGTGGTCATTCGGATTTTGGGAACATGGTAGACGGTTTGCTGCCAGTAAGCTAAGACGGTTTACCCACTCTAACCAGCTTGCCAGGTCGACCTTGTGCTAGTCTCATATAGCAGCAGTTTGACTATCAGAGTAAAGACTGCTCCATACTGCATCATACTATAACCAGGAACTGCCTACTTAAGATGCGATAACCTTAGCAAATTTTCACGAAAAGGTCCACTGTGTATTGTTTATGGTCACTGCTCACACAAGTCATTTTCATACCAAGCGGCTTTTTGTTGGTCACTACAGCAAATCTGCACAACCAACTTGGACCTGTTGTGAAATCTGCTAGGGAAAATTTTTCGCCCTCAAACGAAATTCCAGATTGCATGGATTCTTATTGAAACGACTGAATATCACTCAAGAAAATTTGTACATGTGTCCACATCATCATACAGGAAGAAATTATTTGAATGACATATAAGGCGACTAATAGCAGTTTGATTTGTTTTTACATACCAAACAGGGGTGGGTTTATCTAAAACAGGAGAAAGAAACTCTTGCACTGACTGTTTTTGAGACTTTTGACAAACAATTCGCAAACCTCAGCCCCACCAGCTTGTAGCCTCTTATTCCCGGACATGTCCTGGCTGGGATTTCTAAATTGCCTGAAATGTCTGGGTTTCGACTTTGTTTTCCTATTCTTTTCATACTTGCTGAAAGTATCAACTGAAAAGCAGTTTGACCAAAAGCGTGCAGGCATTGTACATAATCAAACAATTGTGGTCAAAGCAATGCAAACAGATATACATATAATGTATGAGGACTTTAGAGAGCTTGTCAACAGAAAAAAGGACATTTTAGGCAATTCAGAAATCCCAAGCAGGACAATCTGTAACATAAAATATACTGACAGTGTACTTTAGCATAGTGCTGAGTCTGCATCAGCAGAACAAAACAGAGGAAAGTAAATGTCATGACAATTATTTGATTCGAGTATTTTTCCTGTAAAACTCCAACAGAAGTGTATTCACCCTAAGGGTATCATAACAGAACTAATGCAAAGTGTTTCATTTTATTAAAAAAAATAGCAGACAGAGACATCCCTCTGTGTGTGTGTGTGTGTGATTTCATCGCTTGTTTAACAGGGTGATGCAATCTGACGAGAGCATTATGTACTGGTCTTTGTATGAAGGAACACGCTCTCTCTCTTTCTGTACAGATGCCTCAACAATGGTGATTCATATGAGACTTCTTTGAGGGACCATGGCATATGTGCCGTCTCTCTGTGTGACCTGGATTTGAGTCATACCAAAAGTGTTTTTCCCCTTGAGCCAGAGAGAAAGACAGTGAAGAAGACAGAAACACAAAGATAGAACGACAGAGGGATAGACAAAAGGATAGATACATAGACCTATAGAGAGATATGAAAGAAATAACTAGAATGAAAGAAAGAATGATAGAATGAACGATAGCTAGATTGATAGAACGATAGATAGAAAGATATACTGATAGACAGAAAGAAAGATAGATAGATAGATAGATAGATAGATAGATAGATAGATAGATAGATAGATGGATGTGTGAATGACAAGAATGTGACTGATACTGCAGGAGCAGTTCTTCATAAATCTGTGATGGAAATGTGGGGAGAAAGAGAACAAAGAAATTGTTAGTTGACTCATTCACGTTTCCTCTTCCACCTGTAGAGAAAAATACCCAGACATCCACACAATATAGATAGATAGATAGATAGATAGATAGATAGATAGATAGATAGATAGACAGAAAGAGCGATAGACAGACATAAAGAAGGGTCGATAGACATACAGAAATAAAGAAAGAAAGAAAGATAGATAGATAGATAGATAGAAATACAGTATATAGATAGATAGATAGATAGATAGATAGAAATACAGTAGATAGATAGATAGATAGATAGATAGATAGATAGATAGATAGATAGATGTGTGAATGACAAGAATGTGACTGATACTGCAGGAGCAGTTCTTCATAAATCTGTGATGGAAATGTGGGGAGAAAGAGAACAAAGAAATTGTTAGTTGACTCATTCACGTTTCCTCTTCCACCTGTAGAGAAAAAGACCCAGACATCCACACAATCACACAAACATAAACACTCGCGCATTACAAACACGTCAAGCGCTGGTGCATGCGGACTCGGTTTGATCCTTTCAGTGGCTTCCAGCTTTATTTGCCTGTCACTGGTGAACAAGTACAGTGGCCCTTGAGCCTCCTCAGCCCAGCGGTCTCAGCAATGCTATCAATTACTCATGTGATAATGAGGGGCACTAATGAACACACACCTGAGGAGCACAGCCAGCAGACGCCGCGGGCTTCGCATCGCCACCAGAGCGTGTCTCCACGCTAACATTTCTCATGCTTTTCTCTGGCATCAAGAGGTGGAGTTGGAGACGAATCCAGCGGCAAACTGTTTGCGTATGTCACTCCACGCACATTCATGAGATTCACGAATTATGTAGGCCTAATACATATTAATGACTCTCAGCTGCGGCGGTTTCAAAGCTCTCCGTCTCTCTCTCTCACAAAGACAAAATTACACCAAAACACCTAGTGCTCATACATACTCCCACTGTTTAACACTTCCTCAAGAGTTTGGACTGGAATGCCACTAAAATATTTTCTCTCACATTTACATCCTTAGAAAAAAATCTTCTAAGGATTTATGAGGCTAAAATAAAACAAGCAAATGCAGTCAGGATGTGCACTGAATATAAACAACTGCATCTACTTTTCTTAGCTTCGGGTGAAGAAATGCAACCCTACAGCGGCTTGGCAAGTTATACCATATTGTGTAATATTATGTGCAGTATAATTTGCAAAAAACTATTTGGGCATTTCAGCTACGCTTAAAATTTATGGATTTGATCATATTACAAAACACAAAACACGTGGAATTTATTTCCTAGAAAGAAAATAATTTTTTTTTGTGGTTGTCAAACATTAGTGGATCATGTTCATAGTGGAACCTTTAGAATAAATGTTTTAAAATACATATTAGGGTCACTGTTAAATAAACTTTTACAATTATCCAATTCCAAATGTCAAACATAAAAATTATTATTATTATTATTATTATTATTACACACATAATTATTTTTTACAAACTTACAGTCTTACAAATGCACATTGCCAAGTTCATGTAGTTAATATAATTGAACAGTA